CCCTTTTTCTCTTCTTTCTTTCTCTTCAGCCCTTCTTTTCCAGGTGTTCTTTTTTCACGGTATCTTTCTTCTCTCAATCACTACACCCTTGTTTTTTTCAGCTTCTTTCGTCAATTCTCTCTTTCTTTCTCTCTCTCTCTCTCTCTCGCTCTCTCTCTCTCTCTCTCGCTGTTCGCGAAAAAATTTTTCAGTCTTTTTTCTTGCAAAACTAAGGTAGTTATTCTTTACGAATAAGGATTCTTCTATATATAGAAGAAAGACGATCGATTTAGAACGAAGATTATAGAAGAAAAAAGGCTCGATAATAATCGTCGTGACACTGTATCCCTTCTTCTTTCATTTGCCTCTTCCTTCCCCTTCCTCACCAATGTTCTATCACTGTTTTCGTATATCCTTCTAAGAGAGAGAGAGAGAGAGAGAGAGAGAAAGTCCTCCGAACCTTCTTTCGTTCAAGGACTTCTAAACGTCTTCTCGCTCGTTTCTTCTCCTCGTTTCGACGTATACGTATCTTCTTTTCCCTCATACGAAAAATAACTCTTATTTACAGACACACACTGAATCTTTTTCTTTTTCACTCTCTCTCTCTCTCTTTTTATCGCGCAATCCACGAATGCGTGTACACGCTTTTCGTTACTCCTCCCTTGTTCAATCCTTTGCGTTTTTAAGTCTCTTTCCGTTCTTTTAATTTAACTTTACTAGTTCCCGACAACGATGCGTTCAGTTTCCTCTTCCTTTCTATTCCTACCAGTCCTCTTCCCTTCCTACACTGCAAATTCCACTTTTCAAGAGAACGATCTCTCATTCAATTTCACTATCAACTTCCATGATCCTCGGATGCAAGTGTCTGAAATCATACAAAAACACATTTCCTTACTACGTTGAATGTTTGGCGTTGTTCGCTTCCGTTCTACCGCTAATTAAAAACAATCATAAGTTCTTGCAAAAGGCGACAATCGGAAAATTCTTGTGAAAAATTTCGTTCGACCAGCATATGAGTTTATCGATTGCGAATTGTGACGTACGTATATATAACCACGTGTACCACCTGTTCTTCTTCTCCTCTTATTTCTGTTTTCGAGTGTCGAAAAAAATTAATTTCATCTCTTCGAAATTTTCACATACGAAGAAACTTGAAAATAGTCCTAATATGTTTCCAATTCGAATTACTCATTTGTCACCCGGTGTACTAAAGTTGAAGTAACAATTGACGCGCGTTCTTCAAATCCAAAAGATACTTGTTACTAAATTTGTTACACGTGCAGTCCAACTTTAACTCTTCCAAGATGAATTATAAATTATATATATATATACTTTTTGCAGACCTCCAAACAGCTATACAGCTATTAAAATGTGTATGAGAGGTCCATACTCTTTTCGATAAAAGTAACATTATATCCAAAGTATACTAAACATATTAATATTTAAGATACACGCAATATTAGTTAACCGATAAAAAAAATCTAACGAAATTAACATCGTTTAATGAAAGATTCAATTTCTTGATGGTTAATGATGATTTTCGGTAATTATCCGTTACGACCACAATCATTCGATGTTGTTATTATTAATATTGTTCTTATATATTTTTTATTTTGCAAAAAAAAAAAAAAAAAAGAATAGGTAATTCACTTTTTTCCAGGAGTAAAGTAAGTCCTGTTGACATTTCTTTTAAGTATTTATAATTGAAGTTCTCAGTTTGATACACAGATTTTTAACAAAATTCCGAAAACATACTCAAATTAATAACAATAGCTTTCTTTTTAAAGAATATATATGTGTGTGTATATATATATGTATATAATATATATTTTATAATATCAGTCTCATTACTTTCAAAATATATCTCGTAAGTAAGCTACCCAATAAGTGTCGACGGTAAACGTGTCGCCTATTATTAGACGCGTCGTTTCCGCATACGCGCACGTAGGATGCATTATATACAGGTTTATTTAGTGAAAAGTGAAGTAGTCTAAAGGGTTTAGACTTTTAATCAATTTTAACAACTTTTAATTGCATCTGTATTTTACAGTATTTACTACCTTATAATGGATGATGGACTACCATAAATGAATTATACAGTCGTTGTAATCGGACGACAGTACAGCTAAAGAATCACAATGATTCAACTTTGTGCAAAATAACAACTTATAACAAATAACTTTCAAAGTATTGTGTGTGTGTGTGTTTTTTTTTCCTAGAATGCTTTACAAATTGTATTAGATATTTCTCAATTTTATTCGCTTGTATGCAGAATATTATTGAAGTACTTAACAATTAACAATTTTATCAAGTTAAATATCATGTAAAATTATTTAAAAACAACTGATAATCGATTAAATTATTTCCAAATTTCTCTACTTGCAATAACATTAAATATTCAAAATTCAATATGCGAATGTTATATCAAAATTTAGAGTTAACCTATACGATATAATAATAACTGACAATTCGAATTTAACGTTCCTTTTTTTTGTTTATCATTTAACAACAAGTAGTAATAATTCAAATATCCACATTCCAAATAAGCAAATCATATTTGCATGTAATTAGCTTCCTCAATTAATTTCAATATAATCAATTTCTGATAATTGACACTTTCCTTTCACCAGTGTGAATAAAAGATATATATATATAAATTCAATGTTACCATTACACTTATTAAGGCATAGGTAATGTAACTGATTTCAAATCATACAAATACAAAAACAATCAAGATGTACGAAAAATAAACTTATTATAATATGAAACAATAAATTACATTTCATTCATACAATAAAAAATCCTACTAACTAATTAGTTAATATTTTTTATATAGTAGACACTGTTCTAATGTAAACAAATTATGGTAAAACAACTTTTTGTGCTCAATTACTTTACAATTTATCAATTCACGTATATTTGTGTAACTAGAAAAATGAAGAAAAAAAAAAACATTATGGAACCATATGCATATAAATAATGAACTCAGAAAAAGAACTCTTATATTGTAATAGTTATTTACTAATACTATATCTGTATTTATATTGTAAACATATTTTAGAAATGAAAGTAAAAATATATTTCTATGCTGATATCATTATATAATTGTAATTAACATTCTACTCTATTATATTTTACTATTTAATCTGTGATTTATATTCACTGATTACTATTTATAATCATAAAATACAAAATATGATCCGTATTTGCATGTTAAATTTACAAAGCAAAGTGATGTTCAATATTTTTATGAGAATGTTATGCTTTTCTAGTACAGTAGATTTTCAGAAATGAATTGTGTGATAATAAAACATTTATTGAATG